CAGGGACGGCAATCTGGAGCTCGCTCTTCCCCTCTCGCTTTCGGGAGGTGCGTCCAATTTTTGCGAGTCCTGAGTGCAGCAGCGGAGCCGCTCTAGAGCCTCTCGTGAGGCCGACGAGGACAAAAACGATCAGGAGCATGACGAGCTGTGCTATGGACAAGCGCTTTTCCAAGAGCACTTCTTCGGCCAAGATCTGAACCTCGCGGAGCAGAGCTCTGCGTTCGGAATCGGCCTGTTGTCGATGTACATCGAATTCGAAGATTGCTCGTTGCAGGTCGACGTGTTGCCTTCTCTTGAGACTTTCGATCTGCTGCCAGTTGCTGCTGTTGAGCGCGCGAAGCATGTCCGACATGCGAAGTTCCTGTCGCTTCTCCATGCGTGCAAAGACCTCGCGAAGCATTTGTCCGCTGTGTTCGATGTAGCTGTGGCTCAGCGTAGCATTGGCTTCCAGCGCGTTGAGCCGTCGGTGAATCGCTCGATAGACAGACTCGCTCCCGGACTGAGGTGCTCCAACGGGACCGCCAGCGCGAGAAAGGGATGCTCGTCGGGCTCGTTCTTGCTCGCCTTCCACGTCTGCGCTAGTCGCGCCAGAAGGCAACTTCGCAGGCCCGATGGCCGAGGATCCATCTGGCTTTGCCAATGAATCACGATGAGTGGCTATGGCATCGCGTCGCCTTGAATGTGCCGAGATGAGATTGTAGAAGGGCTCTGATTGACGTCGAGGTCGAGGGCATCGGTCCGTGAGCTCTTCCTTGTAAGCAGGGTCCTCCTCGATTAAACATTGTCCTTGGATGTGGTCGTCGCTGGCCCCGACCAGGTCGGGTGTACGGACGGGGACAGTCTCTGATGGTGATCGTGGAATGTCTTGCTGCGGCAAGACTGGTGAGGGCTGAGGGTCGCGCTGTTGCGTAGAAGTGTCCGGCATCTCTGTTTCGCCAGCGAGCTGCGAAGAACTTTGGTTCTGCATCTTGCGCTGGAATGCCTGCTCGTGCTTGCGCCACACGTCCTCGTCTTTGGCGGTCAGGTTGACGGTATCCAGGGTTGGCGGAGGATCGCGGGGAAGGGCATCTTCAGGTGTGAGTGTAGCAGGGAGAGCATCGTCGACGAAAGGCTGCTCGCCAACACCGACGCCTGCTCCTGGGTCGATCTCGTTGGGTTGCTCCTCGTACCCTCGCTTCCATTCCTCCATCTCGGTGATACCGTAGACTCGAAGCAAGCTGACTGGGCAGTAGTATTCGCTGCCGAAATGTTCGAGAAAGTCGATGCGGACGTAGCGGAAGAAGTCTTCGGATCGAGGCGCTGACTGTATGCGAAAGACTTGCTGTCCACGGACATTGCGAGCGCGAAAGACGCCGAGCTGAACCCAGTCAGATGCTCGGCCTGTCAGCTGGCGAGCTGCGGTGACGGTGAATTTTTTGAACATGTTGCTGAAGAACTCGTAATTCGCCAGCACGAGGGTATCGATCTTGATCTCCTCGCAAAGTTCGACGATGACAAACTGAGTGTTGCCCTTGCTCTTGCTGCTCCTGTGGGGGCATGGCGACAACATGTATCGGTCCTTCTTTTCGCTCAGGATGGAGCTGGCGAATTTGGCTTCTGGATTGGTTCTGTGCACCACCGCGGCACAGTCCAGTGATGCGAAGTTCCATCGATGCTTGAGTTTGGCGAGCTGCGCACTCGTGCCGCTTGCGGCCACGCTCAGACCGACGCGCGCGGGCTCAGCTTCGTTGCGAGCCGAACGAGCCGGGCCATCGGCGCTTTGTGCATCATCCGGACCTGGAGTTTCTACTCTCTCCGCCGCAGCAGAAGCGTGGTCCGGGTTCGTACGGATGCTTTGTTGCCTTGCACCTGGCTCACTTGGCGTGACGCTCGTGTCCGAGATTCGTGTTGGCCCGCCACCGTCTCCATTCGAGGAGACGGTATGGCCTGGACCACTGCGGGTATCTGCTTGCCGCGGCGTTGCACTCGCTCCGTCCGAGGGTCGAACGAGCTGCTCTCGATGAGTCTCCGCTCCGGCCGCTTCACCGCGCTGAGGATTGTTGCGATCTGCAGAGTCTTGCTCAAGTCGCTGCTTCCATTCTTGGAAGCTGAGGAAGGTGGCTTGGTCTTGTGCTGCCGACCATGCATCGTATTCGCTCAGGTTGAAAGCGCCACGCCCATCAGCGGCTGCCTGGTTTGCGTTTGTGTTCGCATGGTTTCGACTTTCGGCAGCATCGGCGTTGTCGAGCTCGACCTTCTGTCCGGGCTGCACGCTGGATGCTGGTTGCCACTCGTGCCTGCCATCTCTCTGCCTCCAAAAGCCCTCGTCTCCCGGACCAGGATACTGCTGCGGAGGCCTTTCAGGACTGTCTGCAGTTCTGTCGTTGTGCGTGGCCGAGGACGACGCTGCATCGCCGAGCTCTGGTAGTCGCTGCCCTGTTGCTGAGTCGGAATTGCTGGCCGATCCATGGATCACGATGGTTCCTGAGACAGCGTAGGTGGCTTTAGGCGCTTTCCCAATGGAATGGACGTCCGAGTCTGGTCGGACGAGCGGTTCGACTTCCGGGACGCTGCAAACGAGTAGATCGGCACTGACACTGGGCGACTTTGCGCCCTCAGCCGATACAGAGCCACCGAGCGGGTTGCTGCAAACCTGTTGGAAGAAGTCGGTCGTCCTCCTGCATCCTCTGTCGATGCTCGAGTAGGATGTGAGGGAGTCTACTGGGGATGCTGGTGGCGCCGTCGTGCCAACGACTCGAGTGGCAGGATGCCGCTTAGCATCGTGATTTGGAGTGCCGGGTTCATCCTCCTTATCAGCTCCTGAGTCGAGGAGGAATGCATGTGATAGAGCGACGAGGCATGCTAGCAGGACCAATGCCAGGAGCCCGGGAAGTTTGAAGAGCATGTCGACGGATGGACGAATCTCGCCGAACTTCAGTAATCCACTACAAGCAGTGCATCCTTGTCGCCGAAGCACTATGCGACGAAGGGATTGTGTGATGTGGTGGCGAAGTTGGTGCTGTGCAGAGTGGATGTGGAGGCGCTGGGCGCTGGGCGGTGGTGGATGTGGGTCGCGGCGAGAGGCAGGAGGCAGGAGGCAGGAGGCAAGAGGGTCCGAGGTTGCCTGGGCGAGCGCCGAATCTGTTTCTCTCCACACCGACGTGGAGGCCCACCCTGAAATCGCGGCCTTCCGAGATCCGAACTCGCGCACACCACCATTCGAGCCTGCATCCAGTCCGCGAGGAAGGTAGCATGCGGTGTCTCCATCGTATCGAGGCGGCAAGGCAATCTCCTGCTTCGGTGCTGACAAAGTTCAAATTCGTGATGAGTGTACGTTTTCTGCACCTCACCAGGCTCGCAAGCATGACCGACCTGCCGTCTCGCAACCCCACGTAGCATGAAGCCCCCTCTCAGGCTTCTCGTAAACCAACAAGATTCGTTTATGGGCCGTAAATGCTGGTCAATAGTGCTGTGTGGACAACAACCACACCATGCTCCGTTCACGAATTTACAACCATGATGGCGACCTGATAGCTGAGGCCCGCACTGTTCACAATGCAAGCCTCCAAGGATGCCTTGTGAATAACGACTTGAAATTCCATGATGAATGGCACTCGCAGTTGTCGCCCCTGTTTCGATCTTTTATGTGTCATGATTTGCGAAAATTTTCGAATTCAATATAAGCGAGTCAGCCCTCAAAAGGAGTCATGTTATCTAACCTTTGGTCATGGTTCGTGATTTGCAGTGCAGGATCATGAATATGAGACTTCAGATGCCACGGACCTCAAAAACATCAGGGATTGCTTAACAATCGGTCGAAACGACTCATGATCAAGCACTTCATCGGTCGCTTGAGATAAGGTTCCAGGGGACTGAACAGATAAAGCACGATTTCCCGCGCCCTTGGAATGATGATCGAAAATAAAGGTTGCATGATTTCAGGTCCTTTCGTGTCTTGTATGAATTATGATTCAATAGTATAAAAGAGAGCATCTCAATAGAAGCCATCTACTCTGTGTGAATCATCAATCCTGGCCGTAAGAAAGATAATATCAACTCGGACTTCGTCAGACTGCCTGAGCCCTTGCCGAGGCAGGATTCCATGTACAAGATCCTCACAGCCCCCGCAGCTTTTGCGGGAGGCTGAAGCCCATCATCTCGGTACAGCAGCGGGCTAGATCCAAATCACACATTCGATGACGCTCGAAGTCAACCGCTAGCCGAACACGTTGCCTGGCGATTGGCCATTGACAGCCAACGGCCCCAGCAGGCAGTCAGAGAACAAACTTAAAGACAAAGGCCCCCCTATCGGCTTGCCCTGCGGCTGGCTTCGAGATGAGCTTTCCAGACGAGGCTGGGCCCCCCTTCTGCAAAATCACCCGTCGTGCCAAGCGGGCTGCAACGCTCATGCTCAAACTTGCAAGCCTCCGGATCTCATAATTTATTCCCCGGACTTCGGGATCCTTATGCTGACCCAAAGCAAGCATAATTTAATCATCTTGGAAGGTTCCTTTCGAAATAGGAAATCAGTAAAGTATGATTTATGCCTGATGATCGAAACAGAAAATTGACGACCTGTTCTAAAGATATTCTATCGATTCAGCCTGATGAAACTTGACTTCGGATCGGCTTATGTCTCCAGAAACCCCGTTTCTCTTGGAATCATGATCCAGGAAAAGTGAGCCATCGATGAGGATAAGCCGTGTGACCATTCTTTTTGATCGAATTATCTTGTCATAGCACTAAGTGATCACAAAATGTTTTGTCGTCAATCACAGAGAACGGAAAAACAGTCATTGTGTCTCTCAACTTTGGGACAGGCAATGAGTGACATACAAATTGTTTGACTACTACTCGACTGAAACGAGACGTGGAAATCACAAAATAATTTAGCTTCCCGCGCTCTCCGCTTATCTCCAGAGCTGTAAAATGATTAGAAAACAGCCCCAGAAAGTCTCGTCAGCGAGCCCTGATGACTTTGAGATGGATTCGTTTGCGCTCTGATCCCAGTCCTCACAATCATGGATAACTCGGTACGATGGCAGCTGGAATTATGACGGATCGAATCAGTCTTCACGAGACTTGAGACGAAGTGTATTATTTTACGTGAGGACACGCGTCTTCCCATCGAGTCAAGTTAACGAACGTACGCGAGTGGATCGTGATTTTGTTTCGACTTTTAAGCACACAACTTACGCCTGTGTTAGGATCAGAAAAAACGTGAGTACCCTGACCGGTCTAATCAATTGTACGACTCTTAGGTTCAATGATTCATTGATGATCCATGTTTTTATGATTCCTTTCAAGTTGACGGCCGCCATATAAAACGGCGTGGGCCCGTGGTTCATTATGAGACTCATGCACGGCAGGATAATAATCACGCCTCACGCCTCACGCTCCCCGCTGCAAGCTTGAGCGTGCGACAGTCGTGTCATATCTGCATCGTGAACCATGAAGCACACTGAAATCTGAAGAACCCTGCAAAGCTCAACACACGCAGCGCCGTTGACTTTGCCAGCAACATCCTCGGTCCGGCACGAGAACGGGATCGCATCCTCTTCACTGGCAAGTTCTTCCGAGCAGAGATCGAAACCGGTGTGGCCGAGCTGGCCGACAAAACGTTCCCCACTCAAGGCGGTGGCAGCGTTGAAGAGATGACAGCCATCCATGACAGGCTCATGGATGAGGTCATCATCCCCCTCACGGACAAGGCCATCACTGTGGCCAAAGAGGTGACCTTAGCAAAGGAAGAGCACGCTTACTTCCACAGCAGCCTCCGCAAGATGTACCTTCAGCCTCCGGGGGACAGGACAACTGGCCCCTTTACCCTGAAGCGGGAGCGCCGCGAGGAGGACCACCTTCCCAAGGTTCACGAGTTCCACTTGACAATCCGTCAAGACAATCTTTGTCGTCTGTCGTTCGTATTGCAAACGCCGGCACGCACGATTTACGACCCATGAGTGACGGTTCACGACTTACGACTCGGCAGACAGTTCACGACTCAATATCAGATCGAGAAGGTTCGTGGATGTCGATGCATGGTTCAATGGTCGCGCACACAAGACAGACGGAGACTCAATCAGCACGACGGTGAATTCTATCCATTATGCATCCACGTTCTTGGCTCCCAAGGTGATTATGACAAGTGCCTTTCGGGGCGAGCGGGATCGGCTAGCGTAGCATGGTCGGGCTGAACCCAATGTCGCTACAATAGACACGATTCCGACGCCGCCGCTTGAGATTGAAAACGTGAACGGAAGCCCTTTTTTGAGAAGTTAGAGAGTCGGCACGGTTTACTTGTGTGCTTCGTACGACTCGTCAGAGGTGTGCTCGCTGTCGTGCGAGACGCGCTTCATGCCGGCGAGCTCGTTGCTGACGCAGTTCTGCTTGTCGTTGAGCTTGCGGTTCTTGACGAGGAGGCCGAGGACGATGGGCGGGACCGAGAGAACGATGGAGACGATGAGGAGGATGTGGATGTAGTCGTTGTAGGCGTTGATGATGCCGGTCCTCTCCGGGGTTCCGATGGGGTAGGTGGTGAGGTACAGGGTGGGGCTGGCGTAGATCTTGGCACGCGTGGCAGCGTCGAGCATGGGCAGATACTTGTCGAGGTAGCCGGGGAGGACGTTGGTCTGGACGGCGCCGACGACGGCGTTGCCGCAAGCGCCTCCGATCTCGGTGAGAAGCAAGAAGTAGGCGGTGACGGTGGCAACGTCCTGGTGGCGGACGCTGACCTGGGCCGCGACCTGGAGGGTGATGCCGAGGAAGCCACCGCCGAGACCCTGGAGGACCTGCGGGAAGACGGCCTGAACGTTGGAGGAGCCAGCCTCGCGGTACTTGATCATGAGGCCGACGCCGACCATGCGGATGACGGCACCGGAGACGAGGATCCACTTGTAGTTCTTGGTGCCGAGCGAGATGAAGCCGGCGGTGATGCCGAAGACGGTGAGGGCGAGCGACTGGCAGTTGGAGAAGTAGCCGGCTTCGGTGAGGTTGTAGTCCATGACGATCATGGACCAGGTGTAGGCGGGGACCCAGGAGGTGTAGAAGCTGAAGAAGTCAAAGAAGCCGATGGCGGTGGCAAAGTGGACGTCCTTGTTAAGCCTCCAGCGTCGGTTGAGGATGGGCTTGGGAGCGAAGAACTCCCAGATGCAGAAGCCGATGATCATGAGGCCGCCGAGGACGAGCATGGCGATGATCCAGCCGGTCTGCCATCCGTCGGCCTGGAGCTTGGCGAGGTTGAGGGGGAGGAGGAAGAGGAGGAAACCGCCGCAGAAGAGGAAGAGGCCGAGGGTGTCGATGTCGACGAGGAAAGCCCAGATGGCGCTTCCGAGGGGCATGCTCTTGTAAGGGTGAGCGGGGATCAGACCCTTTGCCTTTGCCCTCCTCTGGTTGATGAAGAGGACGACGATGATGAAGGAAGCGGCGACGGGAGCGCAGATGGTGAAGAAGCCAGGGCCCCATCGCCAGTTGACCGTGACGATTTTCTGGGTGATCTGGGCAGCGGCCCAGAAGTTGAGGATGTAGGGAAGGCTGACGAGGCCGATGGAGACGCCACGCCACTTGGTGGAGATGTAGTCGGCGAGGACGATCTGCTGCATGATCTGAACGCCGGTGTTGCCGATGGCGTAGAGAACGGTGCCGCCGGCGACGTCGCGAGTTGTCTGAGCGACGGCGACGATAATGAAGCCGAGGACCCAGAAGACGACGGAGGTGATGTAGGCGGTTCCGCGACCGAAGACGTCGGCGAGTTTTGCGATGGGGAACTTGCCGACGGCGATGAGGACGGCCTGGACGATACTGATGGCGGTGTAGGCGGGGTAGTTGCCGAACTCCATGGTGGCGGCGGTCTGCCATGCGTACATAGTGTTGTTGTCGAGGCCGGCAAGGTAAGCGACGAGGGCGATGCCGAAGATGCCGACCCAGAGGGTCCAGTCGGCTACGCTGCGGCCAGCCTCTGCGGCGATGACGCCGATCTGCTTGTCATTGAGGGTTTCTTGGGACTCGGAGAAGGAGGACTCCTCCTCGGCGCGCTCGACAACGCCTGTAGGGTGCGACATGGTGGAGGCGCTACTGCAAAGCAGATGAAGCAGGGGGAGGGAGAGGGTTATGGAGGGAGAGGGGACGATGGATGGAAGGGGG